CTTATAGGGCCAGACAGATCCAGATATGTGGGACGTTGAGTCACATAGGCTTTCCTACAGTAAATCCAAAGATGTTAGCAACTGTGATCGTGGCTGGTTTCTGCTCTGAGAGGTTGCTGTGATTTGTCAGGTCTTGCAGCCATTTTGCATTGGTGTTATGAATCTTCTATTTCTTCCATATATTCTTCCAGTATTGTATAGTTTCTGTCGTGTTGCTGCATTGAAGTTACCATATTACTGCAGTGAAGTTAAGAGTATACATTGGATGGTTCCGTGGAAAACAGGACATTTATCATTTTAGGCCAGTGATTTAAGCCTTCGTTTAAGAATCTTGACCAGCATTTTGAGAATTAGAGTGGCTGTGGCGTACACTAATTCATCATTTCTATTATAGTGGTAGTAAGAATTTTTGCAAAGGCTCTATTTGCATCCTCGATTATATTATCTGATGGTGCATCACTGAGCTTCCTGAGTCGGTCTCGACGGTTATTTACAGTCATTTTATTCATAATTTTCTTTCTCATGTCAACTGCTTTACTTTGCAACGAAGATATTGGACGGTAATTTCCAGCTTCCCAGCTTGTTGTGTGTACATCTCTTCATTTTTTTTTTGAAAATCCATGGCATAAACATATAAATATATGTGCCATTCATCAGATGGCATTGTGAGATATTAGTATTAGTATACTTATTTTCTAATTAATCATACCTTGACGGAAAAAGGACAATTTCGGCCGTGAATAAAAATATTTATTAAAATTATAGTTACGATAATAAGAGTAGTGATAATAATAGTTATTTAACAGATTCGAAGTAAAAGCGATTTTAGTTAAGGAGAGTAGTTATTTAACAGATTTGAAGTAAAAAGCGAATGTAATTAAAGAGAGTAGCTATGACCGAAAAAAGGGTGAATTAAGACGCGAATCGATTGTCAATCCTCCAAAACGCCAACACTGCTGGTTTAGAGTGTTCCATTGCCCATCTGGGTGGTTCTTACAAACATTCAAAATATACCAAATTTGTTTATTTTTATTCAAAAGAAAATATTTTCATTATTGGTGTTTTTGATTTATTAATAAGGTGCTTTACAAATTAACTAATAAATGTGTGAACAAAGGAAAAGAAAAAACAATTTTATGTGATTTGCATATTGTTGATGTAAAAAACTTTGTTAAAAATTTGTTGTTTTTCTCTTTTTTGAATTTTAAAAAGGTTTCATGAATTCTTACCGTATTATTATTATTATTTTATTTCTTACTTTCGGTCGTTTCCGATATACCTTTTCTCCACAGTAAGAAATGTCTAGGATTTTAAAAGGATTTTTTTTCTCATCTTTCCTTCTACCGCTGATGATTCAGTATTCTTTCCGGATTTTTTTGGGAATCTTCAAAAATTTTTTTTCAGAATTGCCTTGCGTCATCTAGTGCGTTTTTACGATCATGTGTAGTTACTGCAGTTAAATTCCTCATTGTGGGACGCAGTTTGAAAATTGATGAGCTGCTTCAGTCTGCGATGTCCGATTTCCTTGCAACCATAGGTGATCCTGATCTTAATGTGCGTCGAGTTTCACTTATTGCGCTAAATTCAGCTGCACATAATAAGCCAAGAATGGTATTTTTTTATTACATTTTTCGATGCTCAGGTCGCATAAAATTTGGTAAATTTGGTTTAAAGGCTTTCAAACATGTGTTTTTAATTCGATTCTTTGATTATTTTTCTTCATTTCATTTACCTTTCTGCTATTTTCTTACCAACATAGGAATTCAACACTCAAATGAATTCCATCAAGTTTTTTTTTCAGATTCGCGATCTTCTTGATAGAATTTTGCCATTATTATACGCAGAAACTGTAGTTAAACAGGAACTCATTAAAGAAGTGGAAATGGGTCCTTTTAAGCACGTAATTGATGGAGGACTTGATCTGCGTAAAGCAGCTTTTGAATGGTTAATTTTTTTTCTATTTTGTTGTCTTATGTTGTTTTTCAGTGATTCTGCTGGAATATGAATTTATTTTAGCATGTATACTTTGTTGGATACTTGTTTAGAGAAACTCGATATTTTTGAATTCATTACATACATGGAAAATGGATTAAAGGTGAACCATTCTTCTTTCTTTTTTTATACTAAATCTTGATATTTTCACATAAACTTCGTATGGGTTTTTACTAATTATTTAATTTTTTTTTCAGCAAAAATTTTATTGTTATTTTATGTATTTTATGTATGTATATGTATGTATTTATATGTATATCGATATATTTTATTAATTTATTTTTAGGATCATCATGATATAAAATTATTGAGTTATTTAATGCTTTCTCGACTTAGTACATTGTGTCCTTCTCAAGTACTTCAGCGGCTGGATCGATTATGTGAGCCACTAAAGGTAAAAGGTGCATTCTATTCTTTCAGTCAGTTTTTCATTGTTATACCATTTGCTGTTTGCATTTAATAGACTTCTTCAATTTCAGGCCCAGTTACAAATGGCTTCAAAACCAAATGCAGTTAAACAAGAGACAGAAAAATTGGAAGAATTGCGTCGTGCTGTGCTGCGCGCTATTATTGTCCTTCAGGTATATTATTTTTCTAATCCAATCAATGTGAAACTTTTTTAAGTAATGATTATCGATCATCAGATTTTCGTAGGGCTCTCTTACTTATATCAAAATTTGTTTACATTTATTGGGAAATATATAGTGTAGTAAAAGAAACTGGTTCATTTTTTTATGAAATTGGAGTATTTTGAATATCATCTTTTCGTTAGATTAGATATATATGTATTTTGCAGCGTGTGCCTGAAGCTGATCGGCATCAGCAGTTCTCTGATCTGCTTTCTCTAATTCGTTCAAACAGTGCTCTTCATTCTTTGTACACTGTTTGTTTTTCTCATTTTTTTGATTCGATTCGATTTTCTGGCATTTTCAAAAGTATTCATATGCATATTTCAGAATATCGAAAGGGATGCTATGCAGAGGTCATATATCACTGATTCTACGATGGAAATTGACTGAAATTCTCATATATATCATATATATCACTGCTTTTGTGATATTCTGAACTAGCATATTGTGTTTTTTGTTCACGTTTCTATATTTTTATAATTCTTGTTTGATTTATTATATTTTAATATTGTTCATTTAATTTATTTTCGACAGAAAATCATTTATTGAGAATATTTATTGAGATCGAAAATTTTTTAAAAAAGGCATTTTTTGTACGAAATTGTTTATTTTTTTTTAAACGATGATTTGGGAATTTTTCTGTGAATATTTGTTGTTGTCTTAAGAAGGTCAATTTTAGATGGTAAACATAAATGTTAGCCTTAAGGTTTTGAATTCCTTGAAAACTGTTGTACCGAAACGTTTGCATTTGAAATGCAGGTTTTAATAAAATTTGTGAATCAGGAAAAAGGCCGATAAGTTATCAAGTTGATAAGATGGGCAGTGGTTATATTAATGCGAACGCAGTAAGAGATAATTCGATAAATTTTTGGCATTAAAACAAATTTTGATGCAGCATTTTGATTTGACTTTTTTTAGGTGAAAATGTTTTTTAACGATGGATCTCCCTCTGCGTTGCTAACAATTGACATTTTTTCTAATTTTGCGATTCGCATAAAAGTTTTCGTTTAGTGTTGTTTTCATTCAGTATTAATATATAGGTAAGTAATATTTTAATGAATAGTAATAAAAAATTTGTTTCATTTTTTTGCGTTGATTTTTTAAATTTCTTTCGAGGAGGTCCGAGGTAGATTATCTAAGTTTTTATAGAAAAACAGGTTAGGCCCGAAGAAATTCGATCAAATGATCAATTGAAGAATTTCCTGCTTTTTTCGTGGGAAAATTATTCGATATGCGCTGAAAATTTTATTGGTTTAGTTTGACGATAGGAATTACGACAAGTTCGTTTTTGTAGACTTTTGTTTTAATGGTTTTATGGATTAAATTTCGAAATTGGAACTTCATCATTGGTTGAGTTCCGTGTCGCTCAGTTGAGAATTTAAAGAATTTTCGTTTCCTAAGGGATAAAATAGGTTTTTTAATGATATCTGCGGAATATCTTTTGCAGATTGTAAGGTGTGAAAGCGCGATCAGTTTGGTTGAGAATATAGTGAAAATACAGAAACGTTCGCAAAAAAGAATTTATGGTGAGTTACAGATTGAAACTGCTGTTGAGATTTATATTTTTTCTATAGCGCCTAGTAGTTCTGGTTTTCTTCATTTTTCTGCATTAGGTGTCTGCCAGAAAGTCATTTGAAGGCAGAGGTGCAAGTGGATATTTGGCACCAAATGGGTTTGGTAAAATTTGCTCCTTTCGTTAGAGGCCTAGAAACTGGACCATAATGCTCGGAGCTGATAATTGGCGCAACCGTTCGGCTGCATTATCCATTCAGGATTATTCTCGTCCGGAATGCATTTTTGTATTTTTGATTAATATTTTCAATACCTATAGAATATTTTTGGTTAGCGATTAATTTTGCTTGTTTTCTAAAATCATCTTCAGAATAAAATATGGAATAATTTTTGTTCAGATTTTCTGATTTACATTTACATTTGCCAATCCGATCGAATGGATATGCTCAGGTAGAAATTTTTGCATTATTTCCTGCGAAATATGTGTTTTAAATGAATGAATAAAACAAAAAATTTTTGCATTAGTTGCATTTATTGTTAGAGTCTTTGATAAATTTTCTGAATTTTCCAATTTTCTAATTTAATCTTCCATTTCCCTCTCTGCAGAAGTAAATCTGTCTTTTCGAAACTTCTGGTGATCCATCCGTATTTCTTTTGCCGAGTGCCTTCTTCCTAAAAATATTTTTAATTTGGAATATTTCATATGAAACTATTCTGCAGCCGTGATTATAGGTGATAACATTTGGATGTGAATCGATCTATCTATATTAAGTTCGCTAATATTATTACCAGTGTATCAGTTATACAATCTAAGAAATCAAGAAGATAACTGAAAATTATTATAGCAGTGCTTTTTTTTCTAATAATACGCATCGATTTTTTAAAAACATTGTAAAACATTTATCTTTTAACATTTATCTTTCCTGCTTTCTGAGGTGGTAAATTAGTAATGTTGCAGATTTCTGACGCGATTTCTCGTTGGTGTACTGTTGCAGATCCCCGTGTTCTATATAATTTTTCCATTTATTGGTTTCTTTTTTCCAACTGTAACGCAGCATTTATTTTTTTTAAATTTCAGTTGGTTTTTTGCGAATTTTATTCCATTTTCTAACATAAAAATCTTTAAAAAAAGTATTACATTTAATTTTCTGGTATTTTCGGATTACCTATAGTCAAATGCACTTTTTGTGGTGCAGTGGAATGTTTTTTTCGAATATTGGAACAATATTTCCATATTTTTCATTTGCTGATCTTCGAAATATTATTTCACCAGACTTTTTCCATGATTTTCCAGTTAAAATTCCGTTTTTGAAATATGATAATCTTTCGAATTTTGGTATTCGTTCAATTGGTCGTAATTTTTACATAAATGAGGCAGATGGGGTTCGCATTGGATGTTGGTTTGTATTACTATTTTTTGCAAATAAATTTTTCAAAAACAGATCCATTAAAAGCACTATATCATATAAGATTTACAGTTCGACCGACTTTTACTATCTATATGATCCTTTTGGTATGGTACTCAATGCAGATATAATCCGATTTTTACAGATTCATTTATCTCACTTTACAGGCACATTCTGCCTGACTTCGTCACTTCTAATATGAATAGTTCGTTGTCATCAGGTGAAATGGAGGAATTATTGAGGACATTAACATTCCCTGTGGTTATTTACTTGCATGGGAATTCCTTTGATAGGTAATTTCTAATGCATGGTTGCACATGGTTGTTCGAGATGTTTTAGAAACATTCAAGGATTCAAGAGTTGTATTAAGTGAAAATAAAAATTAGAAGTGGATTATATTGCAGGTCTCGTGCACACCGTTGCAAGATGTACAATGTATTATCAGCTCTTAATTTTCATATTTTAGCAGTTGATTATCGAGGTTGGATTTTCTGACAAGTTTTCGGAATATTCGGATTGAGATCTTTGCTTTTTCAGGGCATTCTTAAAGTGAATTTTCCATCTCTGCAGCCTTAAATACAAGAGAGACCACAAGTTCCACTGTTTTTTATGTGTGTTTGAAAAAGTGAAGAAATTTTGAAAGAGCAAAACGTCTTTGTTTGAATATTTTGTTAAGGATATGGTGATTCAAGTGGATTTCCTACTGAAGTTGGCGTAATTCAAGATGTAAAAGAATTGTATAAATATGCTCGAAAATTTGTTGAAAAAGAAAGAATATATATTTGGGGACATTCCATGGGGACTGGGTATTTTTTTCCTTTGCGTTTCCTTGTTTACCCTTAAAAAATTCATTTTTTCATTTCCTTAAGTTTCATTTATATGGCTTTTTTCATCCATGCGTAAACTTAAATTGCTTTAAAAAATTGCTTTTTTTTTTATCTTTTGTTGCATACGAAATTTCAGGGTAGCATCAGCCGTAGCCATGGAACTTAGTGAGGTTGGATCGGCTCCTGCCGGGCTTGTTCTTGAATCACCATTTAATAATTTGCGCGACGAAATACATAATCACTGGCTTTCGACTCCTATACGACACTTGCCTTGGTTCGATCAAATTATTATTGATCCGTTAGAATATTCTGGTCTCAAAATGAGCTCGGATATACGCATTACTAGGTTCTATTTGTATCTTGTTATCAGTGAATTTGAATCATAATGTATTTATTTTAGATCGAATTGACAAATTTACAGAGTTTTGTGTCCTATATTAATTCTTCATGCTGCTGATGATAGAGTTATCCCTGTAGGCTTAGGAAATCGTCTATACAAAGCTGCCTTATCTGCTGGTCGTGAAGCCACTTATATCGAATTTGAATCAAAATACCACTTCGAGCACAAATATATTTACAGATCTAAAGAGTTGCCATCGATCATTAAGTAAGTCGTCCAATGTTTTTCCTGTTTCGATCATTCATATTATTCTGCGGAAATTTCCTAAACATATTCCAAGTTTCATCCAAATATTAAAAAAATAATTCTCAGGAAAATGCGACACATCCATCTAAATGTTCACGTTTCATTGATTTTTTTCTATTGTCCTTGGACCCTCGAAGGACCACAACCACATGTTGAGAGCCACATGCTCAGATTAAGATGTTTGCTTAGTGTATGGGTTTGTGTATGTCGAAAAAAACATGATTATTTTATTCTAAACATTTGGAATTAATAAATTTTAGCTTGTCCTTTTGGAACTGGTTGGTTCTCCATAAAACCTATTATTATATTCCTTCCCTTGAAAATTCCTTAAACCCTATTAAATATCCGAATCCGAATCCTTCCAAAGCTCTGCTTTGATTTTTGTCATAATCGGTTAATAACGTCATTTTAAATTCTTTCCTATTTTCTTTTCTTAACGCTTGGAAAACAACGAAATTAATTTTCGCTATGGCTATAAATCATAAAATATCAAGGTATAATTCGATAGTAACATAGAGTGCTGAAGAAGAACATGGAGGAAGAAAGAGGTAGAATGATGGGTGAATAGTTTTGATTTTGCGAGTGTGAAAACAGTGTGGCTTAATGATCCGAAAATGTTGAGGGATTATCAATGGGTATACTTGGAATTGAAGGCGATTATGTTCATCATATAGTCCTTCGCCACTAAAATGTGATACATGCTTCCAGTGAACAGGTTTAAGGAAATGTGTGACATGTATTTAATAAACTATATTTCACCTTTCGTGCTTTTAATTAATTCATGATTTGTCTGTTGCATTGTTGTTTAGAAATAAATTTATTCTCGTTTATCAGTCGTTTTTTTCTCAGCAAATGCAGTTCTAAGGATTGTGTGAATTTATATTTTTTTAGAAATTTCTCCGAGAAGTGCCAAAGTAAATTTGGTAGTTTTGCGCCATTCAAGGATGCTCATCAGTGATTAATTTTTTCAAGTTGCGCAAATTGTTTACCACTTAATTTTTTGTCGTAATTTTTGCTTTAATTGTGAAATTTTCGAGCTTTGATTGTATTTTATAAGAAACTTTTGTTTTTTTTAAAGATTGGTTTGTCATATACCTCGATTTCTAATATCAGATATTTTTTCTTGATTATTCGATATCCATCAACAAAGAACATTTTTGCAAAATGCATGCTGTGCTTACTGAAACTGTTTTACTGTTTATTTTACGAAGTTCAGATAAATTCAAATATAGTTTCAATAATCGTGTATTGTGCATTTAATAAACGTGTTCTTCCTCGAAAATCAAACACAACTTTTCTTGTGGATAGTTCAAAAAGTAGGGTAGAATCTTCCACCAGAGAATAAGAGAAAAAGAGGCACAAGTAAATCCTCACCCTTAATAACGTGTTCAGTGGCAATTTCGTTCTCCTGAGGGACAGAGTCTAAGCTATTTATCCTCCGAAGTAGAATAATAGGAATTTTTCCCACATATGCAACACAAAAAAACTGTGGGATGGAGGAAAAATTAAAGTGGTTCAGTGGTTGTTCTCATTCCTCATTCCTGAACGCCGACGTTTCCTTGAAGGAGACAAATCTGTCTTTCAAAAACTACGCTGACATTCCATCTTGACTTGTATCACCAAGCGACTTCAAGCAAAATTTGTCTGGCCCGGCAAATCAACAAAGCAAGCCTAATCAAAAATTTTATCGGAAAAAAAAGTGGACTGGAGATTTAAGATTTTCCAGAAATGATTCAAAAACAGAATGAAAGACATTGTTGTCAAGAAATGAATAAAAATAATAAATGCAAGTTCCTGTTATATTCCAGTGACTAAAAAAAAAAATTTGGCAAAATGTCGAGGATGCGGATTTTTCGAATACTAACTATGTTAATTGCTATAAAATATGAAAGAATGTGTTAGAGTACGGGGAACTTATGTTCATAATCGAAAAATAATGCACTGTTCAAAGCTTATGCCTATCTCTTGATAATCATCTAATAACCTGGTAGTAGGTATGCTAATGATAGTGGAGGCCTTGAAATCAAAAGAATTTTTCTAAATTAATTAAAAAGAAACGAATATAGCCACTGAATACGATAAGACTCTGGTCATAGTTACATGGAACGTCAGAACGCTTGTGGATGTTTGCAGTCAAAGGGTTGTCGCCCACACCTTCAATGTAATGTGCATTTCCTTTGCTCATAGAAAGATTAATTTGAGAATTTATTGTACCTCACGGTACAACAGATCCATTGGCATGATGGGTGTTTCGGATGGAATGATAGATTGTCATTTCCAGATGGTTTGAAAAAAAATTTCAAAAAATTCATTTCTTGAGCGATCCTTTCTGTTCCATTCTACCATCCTCTTACTCTATTTCTGGAGCTTTAAAATTTGATGCAAACAATTAAGCTGTTTCTTTTGAATTTTAGAATAAAGAATTACAAATAAAAATAAAGAATAAAATAAATTATAAACAAATTGTATTAAATTAAATTATAAATTATATACATATATATATATATATATATAAAATATTTTATATATATTTTATAATACATATACATATTTTATATATATATATATATAAAATTTTTTCCCTTATGGGTGGCTGTAATTACTCTCAATCTCGATTCCTCAGCCAGAAACCTGGGAGACTAAGGGTTCTGCGCAGTATTTTAGCTGTTCCTAATAGTGTACTCTTCTGGATAGAGATCCCTGATGTTGTCCCTGGAATCTGCTGAAGTTACATTTTTAATTTAGAGATTACACTGCCAAGTGCTCCAATTATCACTTTATCCATATCTGCTTCTGGTGAGAACAATGCGTCGCTTTGGCATATGCCATCCTTGATAGCCACTAGTGCAAACTGTTTTGAGTTAAATTCAATTGTCGTTTTCCACAGTCCCATTGAGTTCTCAATGAACATCTTTAGGATCATTTCGACTTCTTATAGGGCCAGACAGATCCAGATGTGTGGCATATGTGGGACATTGAGTCACATAGGCTCTCCTACAGTAAATCCAAGCTGTACCCAAATTGGTCTGACGCAGTTTTGAGTCTAGAGCGACTGCCTTATTTACAGGTATTTGGAGCCTCTGATGTTATTCCCAATGCCTTTTTGAATTTCACTCATATAATGGCTCATATAGTCATGGAACTTAATGGCTATGATGCCTGACAGAACCGTTATTAGTTTCTTTAGCCAGTAGCTATGAATCATATCCCGACTATGTGCTGTCTAATTTTTCACATTTTTAAGTCGCTGTTAGATGTTAGCAACTGTGATCGTGGCTGGTTTCTGCTCTGAGAGGTTGCTGTGATTTGTCAGGTCTTGCAGCCATTTTGCATTGGTGTTATGAATCTTCTATTTCTTCCATATATTCTTCCAGTATTGTATAGTTTCTGTCGTGTTGCTGCATTGAAGTTACCATATTACTGCACTGAAGTTAAGAGTATACATTGGATGGTTCCGCGGAAAACAGGACATTTATCATTTTAGGCCAGTGATTTAGGCCTTCGTTTAAGAATCTTGACCAGCATTTCGAGAATTACAGTGGCTGTGGCGTACACTAATTCATCATTTCTATTATAGTGGTAGTAAGAATTTTTGCAAAGGCTCTATTTGCATCCTCGATTGTATTATCTGATGGTACATCACTGAGCTTCCTGAGTCGGTCTCGACGGTTATTTACAGTCATTTTATTCATAATTTTCTTTCTCAACTGCTTTACTTTGCAACGAAGATATTGGAAGGTAATTTCCAGCTTCCCAGCTTGTTGTGTATACATCACTTCATTTTTTTTTGAACTTCATGGATTTGGGAGGAGCACAGAATTAATCCCTATCCAACTAAGAAAGTAGTTTCCTCTTTCTTATGTTGAAGCATTGAACTACTAATTGCTTCTCAGTTAGTGTAGACGTAGGTCATTTTTCCACAATACTTTCATATGTTTCATATAACCCGTTTGATTAGGTTTACTATTATGGTAGCATTACATCAGTTCCAGATTACTTTGTCTCCTCCATGTAAAGTTTGTTCTAGCATCCCTTTTAACGCCAGATTGCTCTGATTCCACAGCAACTGGCGTTGTTCCATTAGCCCACTTGTCATCAGATAATTTGGTCCCTCAGCCTCTGACGTGGATCTTGTTAATCCGTGCGACGTCCGAGCCATGGCTCCAGTATGTGACACTGAGATAGGGCAGTAAGCATTAAAGGAGTCCTGCCTAAAGATCCTATCGGAAAGGTAGAGGCTTTTGGCTGTGATTCGAACCAAAACATTGTTTTTTTTATGTCCTTTGCCGATCGTCTGCCTTAAAGGTACAGTAGTGATTTAATCATCACGCCAAACCTGTTGCATATATATATATATATATATATATACATATACTCACTACTATATTACTGAAGAAGCTACAAATACCAGCTGCTCATAGATAAGGCAGTCGCTCTAGACTCAAAACTTCGACAAACCAATCTGATTACAACTTAGATTTACTATAGGAAAGCCTATGATTCAATGCCACAAATATCGAACTCTGAATGTCTGGCTCTATACAAAGTTAAAAGGATCCTAAAGTCGTTCATTGAGAACTCAGTGAGACTGTGGAAAACGACGCTTGAATCCAACTCGAAACAGCTCACACAAGTGGAAATCAAGTACGGCATAAACTATGGTGATGCATTGGCTCCCTTACTGTTCTGCTAGGCTAAATTTCCTCAGTCAGATTATCACCAGAATCGGATATGGATACAAATTCAACTACCACCAACTATCTTCTCAACATGGATGACATCAAGTTATATGCAAAAAGTGAACGAGATATTGACTCACTCATCTATCTAATTGAAATTTACAGTAAGGAGATTTGGATATTATTCGGATTAAAAAGAAATATGGCCGCAAGGCAGTGAAGAGAGGAAAAGTAGCAATGATTAAGGGTGGACTTGCCATCAGGAAATAAAGCGGACATATAGGTTAGCTACAAGTACCTTGGTATTCCACAGTCACACGGTAACCAAGATGTGGAGACAAGGAAGACTGTAACACCTAGGTATCAATCACTAAAGGACAAAACAAATCTTGAAGAGCCAGTTGAAAGGGAAGAATGGGAAAAATCCCTATGATAAATATCTATGCCCCGCCAGTCATCAAGAAAGCAGCTAGCAACGTAACATGGACAAAGGAAGGCGTGAAGACCCCTGATATATAGACCAGGAGACTCCTCACAATGCACTTATATTTCCACCCCATGTCCAATACTCAAAGGCTGTACAACAGTTGGAAAGAAAGCGAGTGACACCTGGTGAATGTAAAAGCCACCATCTTGAATGAAACTCGAAGTATTTAGAAATATAGCAAGATGACGACATCAGAGGATGAACTGCTGAGAGAATGTTTGATGCATCAACGATCAAGGAGAGGAAATACCATGGCAAAGCCTTCCTCCATGGATTGCACCATCGGCAGATAGCTGAGAAATTCTACCAGTGGCTGGAAAAAGCTGGACTAAAAAGGCAACACTGAGGCATGATCATAGAAACACAGGAGCAAGCACTAAGCACCACAAAAGACAGGATTCTAGGAGCAGTTTTGCGCAAAAATGCCTCAAAAACAGTCCAACATATAGTGGCATGATGTACAATGCAAACAGGAAAAGCATACACTGAAAGGCACTACCAAGTAACTGGCTTTATTTACAGGCATATATGGCTTAGAATGTCGTATAACCAGATAAGAGATTCCCCAGAAAACCATAAAGAATAAACCGGCAAATACCCTGCGGGACTTCTCTATCCAAATAGACGAATAATTGTTGGCCAATCAAGTAGATACCAGGTAAGAACCAGAAATCAACACTGGTGCCATAGCTGGCCAATCAAGTAGACACCAGGTAAGAACCAGAAATCAACACTGGTGCCAAAGCGTCAAGTGACAGAGACAAAGAAAGGAATATGAGAAGTTAGAGAAATACCAAGAGGCGAAAGAGGAACTAGAGAAGATGTGGAGAGTAAAGACCGAAGTAATTCCAGTGATAATTGGAACACTTGGTGCTTTGATCCCTATGCTAGAAAAGAGGCTTAAGCAGATTCCAGGAACAACATCAGAGATCTCTGTTCAGAAGAGTGTACTACAGCTAAAATATTGAACCCTCCCATGCCTTTGGTGTATATGATAATAATTAAAATATCACTTCGGCGATACAGGAAATTATTACATATTTCATATATTTGATTGTATGACAATATTGGACTGAAGGAAATTGATCCTCTCACTGGAACTTAAATAGTTAATTTTATGTAAAGTGAGAGAAGCTGTAGACAGTGCTACCAAAGGGAATGTAACAAGGATAAAAAATAAAATTTGGCTCATTTTTCCACTTGTAGAATGAGTAAATGCTGACTGTTGTCCGGGCACTTTACGTAATCGGAGATGGATATAGTCCGAAGGCCAAGGAGAATTAAATCAACGGATCGCAAGATATGAATTGGGTTTTCGTCTAAATAGCGTAATGGACGCAGATTAACTATATTTTCGGTTTCTACTATTAGGGTTTTTAGATGCTCTTCAAATAACAACTTCTCGCCGATTGAATGAGCTTTTGACGATGGCAATTAATCTTTCATAAATTCCGCCTTGCCATGATGCTCCGGATGTGATGAATGTCCAATTGATGTTGGAATCAATCCATTTTGATTTGATTAATTTAGCTGATGATTCAAAATTGGTTGCATTATGGCTTAGAATTAGAATTTAGCTGGTGATTCAGAATTGGTTGCATTATGGCTTTGAGCGGACCCCATCTCATGATAAATCTGCGGAATGCATCTGCGGTATGCACGAAGCCATCAGCGGACGGATTGAAGATTACATCTAAATAAATGGCTCTTGTTGAAAGGCAGGTGAACAGGTGAATAAGATGATTCATTTCCTTTCGGTGAAATTTTGTGATTTATAGGCCCAAAAAGATCGACAACAACTGATTCGAAAAGATGAGAATGTTGGATATTGCAGTTTGGAAGGTTTGGCACGTCTGGCAATCTGAATGATTTAGCAGTCCACTTTTTGCATACCATGCAATATTTGTTAATGGTTCTTTTGACCGACCTTTAGGAATTCCAAAAAAGCAATCTGAGTTGATGTGGAGTACCACAATGGACGTTACTGACATGATAATGTTATAATGCAATTCTGTTAACCTGTTTAATCTTGGAAGAAAAATTATCTTATTTGGAACTCTTCCGAAGGATCGGAAGAAAATTCATCTTGCTATAACTTCCATTTTAAAATATCGTCCATGGATATGTATTTTGTGATTGAACTTGTCCAAACAGGAAAATGTTAACTAACTGGATGTCAGAGAGTGATTTATTTTTCAGCAATAATGGCTTCCTGCTTTTTAAGTGATGAGTTTTAAGAATTTCACAACTTGAACCGCTGTACTGAGAATCTTCGTCCATTGGTTAAATCTTGGAGTATTGATGAGGGTCCCATGGTTATGTTTGAACACAATCGGAATTGTATTTTTCTTTGAAAAATTAATGACAGCTAAAGTATTGTGTTGGTCATAAAGGGTTTTATAAGTTTTTGGCCACGAAAAGAGTCGGCCAACTTTTTTCGTTTCGTTTTGTGCAGGCCAAGCCAACATAATTGGTGGTTAATTAATGAGAATATAGCGATTCCTTTTGTGACTAAATCAGCTGGATATTCCATTGAAAGGACATGTAAAAATAAAATGAACATGTTGGACTTTACGAATTTCTAATAATCGATTTTCAGCATGTCGTTTCCTTTTGTGGTGTTTGTTAATCCAATCTAGAACGGCTTTGTTGTTAGTCAAAGGTACTGAATAACATTGCAATCAAGTTGTAGGCCATCTACGACAAAGGTTAAAAATTTTGTTCCAACCAGGACTGCAAGGAGCTCAAATCTTGGTACTGAAATAGCTTTGATTGGAGACAATCTAGATTTGAAAGGTGAACTGTAGGACAAGTGTTGGAATTATATAAAAAATATATCACTGCAGCATAAACCTTGGTGGAGGCATCCGCGAAGCAGTGAAGTTGAATCATGTCCTTAATGTTGTAAAGAGAATCATCGGACGATGCAGACGAATTGTACAAGGTCCCAATTGTTTGGAGATAGAAGCCCATTCCGTTTGGGAGTTAGGTTGTAATTTATGATCCTAACCATATTTCAATCTCCAAAAGAATTGTAGGAATAATTTGAGAGGTAGAACAACTGGAGATAATATGCCGAAAGGATCAAAGGATTGCTGCTATAAATTGAAGAATTTTTTTCTTTGAATCCAAGACGTTGGTTGGCGGATGGATATTCCAAATGAATGCGTCGTCATGGGCATTATAAGCTATCCCAAGGATTTTTTACTGAAACTTGGCGCTCTCATTGACTGCAGGGTTTTTATCCGATTGCTCAATGTGTGATTTATTTCTTTGCTATTTGAGATGCGAATGTTCATCATTGCTTGACTAAAAATTGTTTTAAGTTGTTTGTAGGATTGGATGGTTATTTGTTGATCATCAAATGTTAGGAAAACGTTGTCAACATAAAATTATTGTCAATTAACTCCAAATAAAATTTGATTACTGCCGCTAAGAGGAAAGGACTATAGTTGAGTCCAAATGGAACTCGAATAAATCGATAGGTTATGAGATTATCATCTGATGGTGATTGGAATTCTTTAGCCAAAGGAATTTTGTGACATCTCTTGTCGTTGAGGCCAATCTGAAGAAAACGTTTTTCTAAATCACCCATTAAGAGAAATTTTCCTTTCCTTAGCCTTAAGAGCACTGCGACTAATTGAGGAATGAAGAATGTACCTTTATAAAGTTGGTCGTTTAGCACATGGCATTTTTCATTATTGGCTGAGGCGTCAAAAATAATTTATAGTTTTGTTGTTTGTTTGGTATTATTATTGGTGGGTGCGGGATGTAATAAGTCAAGTTTTGTGACTCCATTGGAACCTTTTCAATAATGGACTCCTGTAATGCATATATTTTACGGTTTCCACAACCGGATAAAAACATCACATGGATCCATCCACCTATGCTCAGATACCGCCTGCACTAACATATTTTATTATTTGCTAAACTATGTAATGGATAGTGTCAAAAGGGGGGAGGGCCAATCAAGACTTGAAGTGATACAGAAAGATTTTAAACGTAGGTGTACCATCGATATAAGGGCTTAGACGATGGGAAAAAGGAGTGGCTTCTATTACTGTCGACGATGGCATCAGACCGCGCAGCTTGGAAGCGTCTTACTCTTGTAGCTGTTGGAGCCTAGCCAGTAATGGTGAGAGCTGTGAGAAGAAAAGAAGAATAGACAGTTAGACTGATTCATTTTGAATAAAACCTTTGGCCACATCCAAGCAGTATGTAAGTTCTTCTAAAAGCAACTTGTTATCCTTCCATATCTCAAAAATAAATATATTTAAGCAAACAACCTTTGCTATCGCATAATTTTGACATAATTTTGGAATGTATTCGTGGGAATTTATTCCAAATTAATATTAGATCGGAATACTTATGTCCATTGTTATGGGGGGTATAGGATACAAAAACTTTTATAACCCAACCGTTTCTGCTCCATAATCTATCCCCACAGCAACGATTTACTTATCAGTCTTATCGCTGTTTCTGCCGATGCTGAGGTTCTACTCCCCATACGAGTAAAAATTAAACCTATCCAAAAATCCGGGTGATGCTACCGACTCATCTGTACTTCTATAGCCAAGGAACTCTTTGCAATATCTAGTATGGCAAGTCAGAGGAGTGAGCTTAACCAGTAACGGTGAGGGTTCTTAAAAAAAATTGTTATTCCTCCTCGCCTTGGAATAAGATAGCAAATGGTTTTCCTAGAGACTAGTTTTCGAGTTTGGTTGTAAGAACATAATTTGGCCTTGAAGCGTTATTTAGGAATAAATTTCGAAGAGATAAATTTCGAAATAAGATCTATTTCATCAAAAAAGAGCTACTTATGAAAATTTTTTTAGTATTTGGAGTTTCATTAGGAACAGGGAGTGCCCATAACAAGTGAACAGTTTTATGCGAACATTTAGCTCTTAAGATATTGAAGATAGAGTAATCCTGTGGTTAGACATTCTCCACCGGAATTGCTCGATTAACTTCATTGGCGAGGTATATATGCATCATCTTCCTCTCCATTTGAGAACAGTTGTTTGCAGCCCTTACGGATCCTGAATTGCTTTATCAGAATGAATATGAAAATTTTATTTATAAATTTTGTAGAGTTGCTGCGTTATATTAGCGCACTGTCATTAAAGAGGTGAAAAATAATAACAAATATTCCATCTTCCCGAATACACCTGCTGTTTAACAAAGGGATGTCAGCCAATAGCTAAAAATAAGTTTTCAACCAAGGATTTACCTTTTTCTGTTATAATTATGGCTTAATATACTTACACTTATGTACCTTAAATGAATCCTTGAAATTCGTTTATATAACGAAACGGAGTGTTCGCCTCAGAAGAAAAAGATCTGAATCTTCAATTACATGTGATTTAGTGTTGCTACATTTGGTGTCACTACTTTCAACATATTCGACTGTGGAGATACGACCATGTGGACTGGCAAAAGTCGACTGCAGAGTTAGCGAACGAAAAGAGAGTGCATTGGAAATAGGCTACAATTGGGTATGGAAAGATTAATAGATCTTATTAACAGAAAAGACTGTTGTGGAACTTTGGGAAGATAATAACAAGAAAGTAATCAGTTTGGGGAAGATTTCACAAAGAATGGTAAGTTTAAGGGATTTCAAATGGTTTCAATTCAGCGAACGAGATGTCGCACGCAAAACGATTTCTAGAGAGTACACGCAGAGTGCAACAAAAGGGGACAAAGGGACTGATCATGTTAGAGCACCACATCGGAGTTGACATATTACATGAGAACCTAAGGAGGTGCTAAGGGATGCTTTGAAGTCGTGTGGCAAAAGAATGGACCGTGGCCTTGAACATGGCTGTTCAAGTAAGCAGCAGTCGAAAACCATTTCACCACCACGCTAAGGAACCACTCATAGGGAGATGGCCATTGGAATGCTCCGACAAAAATGCACTTTGATTCAGATGCAGCTGCGCCAGGAGAAATTTTATCCACTGCTTAGCAATTCGTATAATAGAATACATGTCTGATTAATGGCAATTTTCCAACACTCCGTGCAACTTATGGTACTTCACCCCTACCTCCACATCCTCTGCAGGAAACGCAACCCCACTTAACATTAACCTCGATCTTAATTTTTGTCAACCTTGTGCCTTACATTTTTCAAAATTTTCTTTTTAGAACCATTCAAAATTAAAAGTAGCAAATATTGCAGCTGAACATTAATTACTGTCGATCGATAAAATCAGCGTTGCTTCATGAAGTTTTCGCCGTTTTTGTTTTTTTACGAGTATTTATTTAATTTAGCTAATTTTTGGGTTATTTGTGAGTAATATTTCATTAAAAAGCTGTGGTAATAAGAAAAATGGTGATTTCATCATTGGTGGGTTCATTTTTACGTTAATTGTAGAGTTTTCCACATAACTTTTACCGGTTCAGTAGTCTGAATGGATTTCTCAGCTGCCGCTAATTCCCGTCTTTTGCTTTCTTTGCATATAGCTTCGCACAGTTTCCGGATTATTCCATACAAAAATTTGCACGCGAAGTTCCCAAAAAGATTTTTTTCGCTGTGCATTTGCGATTTTTCATTGGTTTTGAAGCATCATACGCAGTAAAATGTAGGTGTTGGCATTGAGGATCACTCAGCTTTATATATATTTCCTAATAAACGAAAATACACTGAAACGTTTTTTAGCTAATAGAAACGATTCGAGTGAAACTTCGTAGAATATGCATTGTGAAAACACTTCGTATTACCTCGGCCAACAGTTCCTTTATTTGTGCGTACGAATCAGTAGTGCTTATCAAGACTACTCACTGTGGGAAAATTAGTTAAGTTAATCGAAGGTCTGCATAAATACGCCGTATAAATCCTAAGTTTCCATGGAGTTGCAAGTCAGAAGTAAACCTTCTTCTAAATGCTTTCACTATTACTGGCTCCTCTGGCTACAAGAATAAGGAATTTTCAAGCTGTTCAATCCGATGCCATCGTTGTAAGTGAGAAAAGCTATTCCTTTTTCCTATCGTCTAAGTCCATATATCGCTGGTCCATATATCGGTTCATTTTTTCCTGACTGTATCAATTTAGGTTTTGACTGGCCCTCCTTGCTTTTGACGCCAACCATCACACGGTTAAGCAAATAACGAAATATGCGTCCGTTAATGTGTTGGACGACGGAGAATGTGCCCTAACCAGCGAAGGCGACGCTTTGTGATAACATTAATAATACAGATGGTAACTGAGTGATAATGGGTACAATCATGTGCGATTTTGTCCGCTCGATGGATCCGTAAAGTGTATGTGTGAAATGAGTGGTCAAAGATTGATAGCTTCTTAATCTTTCACTCTCTTTGGCCATGTTACGCAGCTACATAGCAAGATCGAGCGAATTGCAGCTATATAGACACGGTTACTGTTTTTATAGTGGTTTCGCGACGGCTCCATAAAGATTTCGCCAATCGAAAGAACATTTCTAGCTGCCCAAGCAGCAAAATAAACTTTTTTAATCTTGGTTCACTAAAAGTTAGCAGTGTTGAAAATGTCTGAACAAATGTTTGCGATATTTTGTTC